AATCATGACAAAACATTTACACTCATTACGATGAAGAAATCATGACAAAACATTTACGTTCATGTTTGACAAAGCATATACGATGAAGAAATCATGAAAATTCATGAGGTGAGAAAAGAGGTGAGAAAAGAGGTTAGATCTAACATTCTAACATAAACATTATTTTTGGATCATTTACACTCAAAACATATACGATGAAGAAGTCTTGACAAAACATTTACGCTCATTCCGATGAAGAAATCATGACAAAACATTTACACTCATTCCGATGAAGAAATCATGACAAAACATTTACGTTCATGTTTGACAAAGCATATACGATGAAGAAATCATGAAAATTCATGAGGTGAGAAAAGAGGTGAGAAAAGAGGTGAGATCTAACATTCTAACATAAACATTATTTTTGGATCATTTACACTCATTACGATGAAGAAGTCTTGACAAAGCATATACGCTCATTACGATGAAGAAGTCTTGACAAAACATTTACGCTCATTACGATGAAGAAATCATGACAAAACATGTACGATGAAATCATGACAAAACATGTACGATGAAATCATGACAAAGCATATACGATGAAGAAATCATGACAAAACATTTACGAAGAAGTCTTGACAAAATATTTACGAAGAAGTCTTGACAAAGCATATACGAAGAAGTCTTGACAAAGCATATACGAAGAAGTTTTGACAAAACATATACGAAGAAATCATGACAAAACATGTACGATGAAATCATGACAAAGCATATACGTTCATGTTTGACAAAGCATATACGAAGAAGTTTTGACACGAAGTGAAGATTTGCACTTCGTCAAAAAAGTGAAGGTTCGACAAAACATTTACGTTCATGTTTGACAAAACATATACGTTCATGTTTGACAAAGCATATACGAAGAAGTTTTGACACGAAGTGAAGATTTGCACTTCGTCAAAAAAGTGAAGGTTCGACAAAACATATACGTTCATGTTTGACAAAACATATACGAAGAAGTCTTGACAAAACATATACGAAGAAGTCATGACAAAACATATACGAAGAAATCATGACAAAACATTTACGCTCATTACGATGAAGAAATCATGAAAATTCATGAGGTGAGAAAAGAGGTGAGATCTACCCTTCTACCCTAAAATATATTTTGGATCATTTACACTCATTACGATGAAGAAATCATGACAAAACATATACGATGAAATCATGACAAAACATTTACGTTCATGTTTGACAAAACATTTACACTCATTACGATGAAGAAATCATGACAAAACATTTACGTTCATGTTTGACAAAGCATATACGATGAAGAAATCATGAAAATTCATGAGGTGAGAAAAGAGGTGAGAAAAGAGGTGAGATCTCACCTCTTCACCTAAACATTATTTTTGGATCATTTACACTCATTACGATGAAGAAGTCTTGACAAAACATTTACGCTCATTCCGATGAAGAAGTCTTGACAAAACATTTACGCTCATTCCGATGAAGAAATCATGACAAAACATTTACGTTCATGTTTGACAAAGCATATACGATGAAGAAATCATGAAAATTCATGAGGTGAGAAAAGAGGTGAGAAAAGAGGTGAGATCTCACCTCTTCACCTAAACATTATTTTTGGATCATTTACACTCATTCCGATGAAGAAATCATGACAAAACATATACGATGAAGAAGTCTTGACAAAACATTTACGCTCATTCCGATGAAGAAATCATGACAAAACATTTACACTCATTCCGATGAAGAAATCATGACAAAACATTTACGTTCATGTTTGACAAAGCATATACGATGAAGAAATCATGAAAATTCATGAGGTGAGAAAAGAGGTGAGAAAAGAGGTGAGATCTCACCTCTTCACCTAAACATTATTTTTGGATCATTTACACTCATTACGATGAAGAAGTCTTGACAAAACATTTACGCTCATTCCGATGAAGAAGTCTTGACAAAACATTTACGCTCATTCCGATGAAGAAATCATGACAAAACATTTACACTCATTCCGATGAAGAAATCATGACAAAACATTTACGTTCATGTTTGACAAAGCATATACGATGAAGAAATCATGAAAATTCATGAGGTGAGAAAAGAGGTGAGAAAAGAGGTGAGATCTCACCTCTTCACCTAAACATTATTTTTGGATCATTTACACTCATTCCGATGAAGAAATCATGACAAAACATATACGATGAAGAAGTCTTGACAAAACATTTACGCTCATTCCGATGAAGAAATCATGACAAAACATTTACACTCATTCCGATGAAGAAATCATGACAAAACATTTACGTTCATGTTTGACAAAGCATATACGATGAAGAAATCATGAAAATTCATGAGGTGAGAAAAGAGGTGAGAAAAGAGGTGAGATCTAACATTCTAACATAAACATTATTTTTGGATCATTTACACTCATTACGATGAAGAAGTCTTGACAAAACATTTACGCTCATTCCGATGAAGAAGTCTTGACAAAACATTTACGCTCATTCCGATGAAGAAATCATGACAAAACATTTACGTTCATGTTTGACAAAGCATATACGATGAAGAAATCATGAAAATTCATGAGGTGAGAAAAGAGGTGAGAAAAGAGGTGAGATCTAACATTCTAACATAAACATTATTTTTGGATCATTTACACTCATTCCGATGAAGAAGTCTTGACAAAGCATTTACGCTCATTCCGATGAAGAAGTCTTGACAAAACATTTACGCTCATTCCGATGAAGAAGTCTTGACAAAACATTTACGCTCATTACGATGAAGAAATCATGACAAAACATTACGATGAATCATGACAAAACATTACGATGAAATCATGACAAAAGCATATACGATGAAGAAATCATGACAAAACATTACGAAGAAGTCTTGACAAAATATTACGAAGAAGTCTTGACAAAGCATATACGAAGAAGTTTTGACCAAAACATATACGAAGAAATCATGACAAAACATGTACGATGAAATCATGACAAAGCATATACGTTCATGTTTGACAAAGCATATACGAAGAAGTTTTGACACGAAGTGAAGATTTGCACTTCGTCAAAAAAGTGAAGGTTCGACAAAACATTTACGTTCATGTTTGACAAAACATATACGTTCATGTTTGACAAAGCATATACGAAGAAGTTTTGACACGAAGTGAAGATTTGCACTTCGTCAAAAAAGTGAAGGTTCGACAAAACATATACGTTCATGTTGACAAAACATTAGAAGTCTTGACAAAACATATACGAAGAAGTCATGACAAAACATATACGAAAGAAATCATGACAAAACATTTACGCTCATTACGATGAAGAAATCATGAAAATTCATGAGGTGAGAAAAGAGGTGAGAAAAGAGGTGAGAAAAGAGGTGAGATCTACCCTTCTACCCTAAAATATATTTTGGATCATTTACACTCATTACGATGAAGAAATCATGACAAAACATATACGATGAAATCATGACAAAACATTTACGTTCATGTTTGACAAAACATTTACACTCATTACGATGAAGAAATCATGACAAAACATTTACGTTCATGTTTGACAAAGCATATACGATGAAGAAATCATGAAAATTCATGAGGTGAGAAAAGAGGTGAGAAAAGAGGTGAGATCTCACCTCTTCACCTAAACATTATTTTTGTCTGATTTACGCTCATTACGATGAAGAAATCATGACAAAACATGTACGTTCATTCCGATGAAGAAGTCTTGACAAAACATTTACGCTCATTCCGATGAAGAAATCATGACAAAACATTTACGTTCATGTTTGACAAAGCATATACGATGAAGAAATCATGAAAATTCATGAGGTGAGAAAAGAGGTGAGAAAAGAGGTTAGATCTAACATTCTAACATAAACATTATTTTTGGATCATTTACACTCATTACGATGAAGAAGTCTTGACAAAACATTTACGCTCATTCCGATGAAGAAGTCTTGACAAAGCATATACGCTCATTACGATGAAGAAGTCTTGACAAAACATTTACGCTCATTACGATGAAGAAATCATGACAAAACATTTACGCTCATTACGATGAAGAAATCATGACAAAACATTTACGTTCATGTTTGACAAAGCATATACGATGAAGAAATCATGAAAATTCATGAGGTGAGAAAAGAGGTGAGAAAAGAGGTTAGATCTAACATTCTAACATAAACATTATTTTTGGATCATTTACACTCATTACGATGAAGAAGTCTTGACAAAACATTTACGCTCATTACGATGAAGAAGTCTTGACAAAGCATATACGCTCATTACGATGAAGAAGTCTTGACAAAACATTTACGCTCATTACGATGAAGAAATCTTGACAAAACATTTACGCTCATTCCGATGAAGAAATCATGACAAAACATTTACGTTTATGTTTGACAAAACATATACGATGAAGTTTTGACACGAAGTGAAGATTTGCACTTCGTCAAAAAAGTGAAGGTTCCCGACGGTTTCAAACCGCCATACTTTACATTTTGTACAAAAATATTGTGAGTAAATGAACTCATTATTTTTGCATCATGACAAAACATTTACACTCATTACGATGAAGAAGTTTCGACAAATCATTTACGTTCATGTTTGACAAAGCATATACGTTCATTACGATGAAGAAGTCAAGACAAAACATGTACGAAGAAGTCTTGACAAAACATATACGAAGAAATCATGACAAAACATATACGCTCATTACGATTAAATCATGACAAATCATTTATGTTATACAGTAATGTTAGTCATGAATGTTTGTCCTACGTGTTGGCGTTAGTGTTGAAAAATAATGTTTGTCCTACATGAACCCGTACAAGCGTTTGAATTTGTTTATGAATAAGATTACACTCTTGTTTTCTGTATCTATCATACAAACATAAGCAGCGCCTGTTTTTGTAAAGTTTATATGAAGTTTTCGATAGTTAGGACCTGTATAATAATAGAATGCGTCCTCATTCTCAACATAGTAGTAGAACTCAAACGAATGCTTACCATAATCTGTTATTTCAACAGCTTCGTCAGATATTTCATCAACGAACTCATCGAAATGAACAAAACACCTTACCAAATGTTTTACGAGGAGTTCTATGAAAAGTTTGTATCCGGATGGAATTGTACAGAGTGCTACAGAAGATATAAAGAATTTGCGAAGGAGAATGAATTCTTTGCATGTAGTTCAAATGTATTTGGTGGCAAGATGAGAGAATTTGTGAAGAGAAGTAGAAAGCGAGACGGTTCTGCAAGAAGTTATATTTACGAAGCAAGTATGATATTAGAAGGTCGTGGAAAGAAAGAAACAGTGAATTATGAGGAAGTGCTTGAAAAATTCATGGAGTACATGGGAAGCAATATAACATACAACAAAGACATATACAGTGAGTTTAAGTACTACTGTGAACAGCATGAGATTGAAGTAATGAGTAAAGGAGACTTTGAAACGCTTATGAAAGACAGTAAGGAGGTCGTTCATGAGAACAGTGTTGAAATAGTTCATGAGAACAGTGAGGAGGTCATACATGAATGCAATAATGAAATAGTTCATGAGAACAGTGAGGAGGTCATACATGCAATAATGAAATAGTTCATGAGAACAGTGAGGAGGTCATACATGCAATAATGAAATAGTTCATGAGAACAGTGAGGAGGTCATACATGCAATAATGAAATAGTTCATGAGAACAGTGAGGAGGTCGTTCATGAGAACAGTAAGGAGGTCATACATGAGAACAGTGTTGAAATAGTTCATGAGAACAGTGAGGAGGTCATACATGAGAACAGTGTTGAAATAGTTCATGAGAACAGTGAGGAGGTCGTTCATGAGAACAGTAAGGATGTCATACATGAGAACAGTGTTGAAATAGTTCATGAGAACAGTGAGGAGGTCATACATGAGAACAGTGTTGAAATAGTTCACAATGTCGTTCGTGAAGAAGCCATTGCAACAAAGAATGAGATAGCTGATGAAACAGATGAAGATAAATTAAATCTTGGACTTTGCCATGGTCTCTGTCCCTAGTTCCTCAAAATCCTTGACAACGTTGCTTAGAAATTTTGGTTCAAAACCTCATCTGATTTTAATCTGTTATGCTACCTGTTAAGTTTCGCGAGATTATAAATGTCATGGAGTTATATAAAAAGGAGGGACAGCTAGGGACACTGGAAGTACTTGTAAGGCTATCTGTTAAGATTGCATGAAATACTAAAAAGTCATGAAATCCATTATCGCTGTGCTAGCTTCACCTTAGAGTGAAATGACAATAAAGTCACTGAAGCAATGAAACAAAAGTTTTTGGTAGAATACATTAATCAGGAACTATTCCAGAAGGTTTTTACATTCATACTATGAAGGATGGTAGAGTTCAGTTTAGAAAGATAAAGCAACCATTAGATAAAGAAGGAATTTTGAGAAAGATTAAACTTCATGAGGACAACATTGCTAAACTTAGGAAGAAGTTAGAAGAGTTGGAGAAAAGAAAGAGTTATAAAGCAATGAATTCAACAGGTTTAGAAATGAGGTTAGAAAACGTGTTAGATCTAACATTCTAACATAATACATTATTTTTGTGCTATGTTTTCATACGTGTGAGGGTGGTGATATCATTAATTTTTAAGTTTATTTTTTATTTTTACTGGAAAATTTTATTTGGATGTAAATGACAGAACAAAAGCAACTCATTCGAATTCCACAGTATAACAAACATACATTTAAACATTTATTCTTCCTTCCTGAGCATAACATGTTCTTTCAAATACATCCGAGACCAGTTGACTTTTCATTGACTGTGTATAAAGATAGAAATAGTTATATCATTAAACCATACGATGACGAAGGTAAGTTATGTAAATTGTACGTTAAGAAGTTAGAGAAAGTTTATGGCTTCAAGTATGACTACAATAGGGTTAACACTGATGATGAAGATATTGAGGAAAATTTATGAGAACATTAGTGAAGTCGTTAGTGAGAACGATAGTGAGTTCGTTTATTTTTACATTAGTGAGTTCGTTAGTGGGGTGAAGTGGTTGGCGGCTTTGTAAATATTTAAGGTTAAGTTAGTGTTATCGTTTGTGTTGTAAAATATACGTTAACGGTTTCGTAAAGTGTCAAAACCGCTAAGTGGTGTACGGAGGCGCGCAGTGCCTCAGTACCCAACTAACCCATACTAACTTTCCCCACTTCCAGAAGATTGTGTCAAATCATTTGAAGAGAATTGTTACTCCAAAATGATATTGAAACAAAAAACTGTTACAAAAGGTTCTAAAAAACAGAACAAATACAAAAAATCCATTCAGAGTGTACCAGGAGGAGATTATCAAGTTTTCAAGTCCGAATGGGAATCAGAAGACGAAGACATTGATGACTTTGATTAACGAAAATTACATTTTATTTATTGTTTTTGTTTTTAATTAAATTATTATTATGCTCATTTTCTTATTTTGATTTTTTCTCATTATGATATAAATAATTTATTAATGCATTTATCCAATAATTATGCTAAAAAAAAAGGTAGTGGGGCTTCCAGGCACTTCGTGCCCTCTAGCCCTGAAGATGTTTAGTATAAATGAAGTTTATATTCGAAGGGCTTCCAGGGCTGGCGCCCCCTTCTAGCCTAAGAAATTTTGCCCAAGACCCAAGAGGAGGACCGAACCCCAGCCGACCAGCCGTTGACTTTTTGTAGAGCACTCAAAAATAGTATAACTTTGTCCGGACAAGTAAGGGTCTATCGTCGCTACAGGAAAAGTTACAGGCGTTCCAAGGAAGTATACTTTGAGAAGCCTTTCTCCCTTATAGAATGAGATAGGACGGTTATTTTACAAAACTGACAACACTTTGACCGAGTAGTTTTTTGTGCTGAACAAAAAGTGTCATATAAACATCTGTCAAAAACCGCTTTTTAACTTCACTTAAAATGCCACGTAAGCTACGTAAGAATATACGTAAGAGGAAGGGAGCATTGAAACATCCAATAGTAAAACTGACACCACAACAACAGTTGCAACAACAAATGATGAATGACCCCACTATGTTGCAACAAATGTCAAGCAACCCTATGCTTTTAAACCGAGGTTATTGGTGCACAGAGTGGAGGTTTAAGAGCGGCACTTTTAGCGAAAATGGCAGGCTATGGTGGAGCTGCAGACGGAACAGCTTAAACCCTCAAAGTCAAATGAATTTGAGTTCACTCAAAAATCAAATAACAGATGTCAAAAAGTCAAACATAGACATACAGAAACAAATATAGTGAAAACGAAAAGAAACTAGAATATGACAGACACACACAAAGAACTCAATGAGTTAAACGTAGAGAAAAAGAAGAAGAAGAACAACTGAAAGAACTAAGTACAGAGGAATATGCGAAAAAGTGTCAGAAAAGCAGCAGAAGTAGCAAAAATGGAACAAGATGTTATAAATTTGAAAAACCATACTACTCAATATAAAGTACTGAAAGATGAAGAAATAAAACAAAAAGCCCTGAAGACATATATGGATAGCGATGAGTATAAAAAAAAGTTGAAGCAAATGTAAAGGCAGAAAAACTTTTACAGTTGCAAAACCAAACCGTACAGTATGAAACTTAGCACAAGAAAGTAAAAATAACGACGCAGCCATGCAAAAGGCAATGAAAAGCGCAGAATATATAAAAGCTAATAATGACTGGTTAGATGCCCAGCCAACGCTAAAGCAGCCCAACTTATAGGGTCAATAAGGACAAAAATACAAGCGGATGAAGACAGTTCAAATGAAGCTTAATGAATGCTGACTTTAAGAACGCCTTCGAAGCTCTTCATAGTAAGGTGAAACTAGTGAACGACTTCTCATCTGGAAAGAAACTGAAGTCTGAAGGTTTCGACAACGAGTTAAGAGAAGTAGCACAAAATATGACGAAAATAACAGATGCAGCAACGAGACAGGCAGTTCAAAGTGCCTATGACGCCGTTAGAGCAACTGTTGTGGAAAGTCAAGAAAAAGAGTTACAACAGACCAAAACAGACCTAGTAAATGCTTTCTTAAAAACGAAAAGTCAGGTAGGACATTTGCTGCAGATGGAACATATGTGCCAGCTGGTGGAACTTATATACCAGCTGGTGGAACTTATATACTAGCTAGTGGAACTTATATACCACCAAACCCTCCAAGAGAAGCACCTGCTACCAGGACTACCTAAAACATTCATCGTCACATGGACACAGACACAGGCATGCACCAAAACCAACACAACAACCAACAGTTCAAAACACTGCACCACAACCAACAGTTCAAAACACTGCACCAAACCAACAGTTCAAAACACTGCACAGCAACAACCACAAACCAGAGCAAGGACATAAAGAAGTAGAGAACAAGGAAACCAAGAATTCTTAAAAATGCTTAAGGAAAATTATGGTTACCCAGATACTCTTGACTTTAGTGACAGATATAAAGAAGCTATTAGAAAGTTCAAGGAAGGAAATACTGACCCGAACCTATTTAGCTTTATGGTTCAGCACCAAATGGGATATAATTTCAAACCTGGAAAATACAAGCTCGCTAAGGGATATGATTTAATAGCATATCATCCAAATGACATGACTGAATTTACTCCGAGATATTTGGTGTCAGAGATAAATGATAATTCAACTATCTTCATGAAACGCGTAAAAATAGAGACGGAACGAAAGAAGAAAGGATTATGAATGCGGATGACTTTAAATAGGGAACTTGTTAAAAACGGTCTCGGAATATATGAAATGCCAGCAGATGAGGTACAAGAAACTCCACAGGAAGAAGTTCAGATACAACCAGACATGGAAGAAATAGTTCAGCAACAACAGCTAGAAGAGCCTGAAGGAAACAAACAAGTCCCTCCTTTGGAAACTAACTTCACAGAAACTAGATGAAGATTTGGAACAGCGAAAAATCTTGACCCTCAACAAGAGTATGCGGAGAATATGGAATCTTTCCAAGAGTCTAAGAAAAATTCGGCTGACATAGTAGAAGAATATCGAAAAATGTTCGCCGACATACAAAAGACTCCAACATCAGATGAAAATATTCAGCATAGAATGGAAGAACTGAAAGAAAGTGTACGCAAAATACAACAATCCTTTTTACTTACGACCATATAACGTTCAATCTTTGGCTGAACTCGTGAAAATAAAAGGTTAAATTTCACCAAAACATATAGAAATGAAACATTGTTTAAAGTTCATTCAGAACCTAACCAATATGGAAAAAACATACTTTTGTTTCTGCAGACTATGGAACTACAATGAGATGGGGTCATAGAGCTAATCCGGATAGGTGGTTCATAAACTTACAACCTCAATTCCAAGAAGTTGTAGACGCAATGGAAGTGAATGGTGAACCAGATATAGCTGGTATTTTCAGCGCGGCTTTAATGCCATTGAAAGATATGAAAGATGCAGATATTTTGAACCAGTATGAAATGAACATGGCTGATGGAAATATAACACCTGACGTTCTAGAACATTTATCTCAAAGAACTACACAGAACCATAGAGATGGTATATTTGGTGAAGAGTTTAGAAAGAAAGTTAGGGAGAGAGAAGGAAGAGAACCTATTGTACATGACCTTGCAAACGAAAGTTTGCAAAATGTCATAAAAACTTACTTTGCAGACAATGAACCGAGAATGGGAATATTTAAGAAAACTCAAATGGACAGTACCAAATGAAATGTTAGTATTGAAAAACATGTTCCTTGACAAAATAAACCAACTACAGAAATAAATGACGCAAGACTGAAACATTGGGTAAAAGCTTTCCCATTCACAAAAGATATTATTGGTAAATGGAAAGAAACCAGAATGGCTACAAAAACATATATTTGGAAAACGAGCTTATTCCATATGGACAAGCTCTGTTTTGAAGAGCTTGAACCGGAAACTCAGG